TTTATTTCATCTTTTAATGATTATTCCAGAAGTAATTATTATGGAAGTGGAAGTCCACCCTGATATTAAGTTGGTTTTAATTTAAGCAGAAAAATAGGTCAGTGAACGTTTAGATTAGAAATAAGAAAATTATGAATTTTTGAAGTTTCTATCATTCAATCATTAAAAATCATCAAAATCTAAAATCTAATTTCAAATCTTGTTTCATAACTATGAATTAGATTAATATACACACATGTGTGTATATATATATATATATATATATATATGACAATAAATTTGTCTCACATTTCCAATTTTAACCAGCTAGGACTCTACACCCAAAGGATCTGGTATACAAACGCCCCTATATTTTAAGTGCAGACTGCCCCCCCCCCCTAAAAAAAATGTAAAAAAATGAAATATCTAAACAAGGGGCGCTTAGGGCAGATCTTAAAATTTCAATTAGGACCCATGTGCATCATATATTCCCACCTTGTTTTACTGAGTAACAGGTCAACTTTCCACAATCTGAAGAAGTAAAACATATACGCTATTAATCATGCATCACCACTTATAATCTTTTGCTGTATATACATGTAGGAAAAATTGATTTTGTTTTAATCTATTAAGATACAGTATATGACAAGGTTTTGTGTTTTCTAGCAGGAGGGTGAATTTCTCAGTATATTATGTTTTTCACATACCGTAATTGTTTACAACTGATATTTTGGATGTGAAAATTTATTGGGGAAAAAATTTGTGTTTTGTTTTGCAAATCTAAAACACAATTCCTCCCTAGCCCGATACCTTTATTATTTCGTCCTTATTTTCACGAAGCGACGGTAGTGAGGAAAATCTCATACAATTTGTGTGACGATTGTCCCACTACCATCACTTCGTGAAAATAGGAATGATTTATATCATAAAATAGTCAATAGAGCACAGTCATACAACAGCCTGCAAGATTATGTGCTGAGCCACTGTCGAACATGCAAGCCACACTGTACATGCTATACAGTCAGGTGTTGACAATTCGCTATTCGAGGTACATGGAGCTCTATGAGTAAGCCAGTCGAGGATGACTCACCCCTAAAGAAATCCCCTCAAAAGAAATCCCCAAGCCTTGTACACAATATGACTAGATTGTGAACCATAGATACATGTGAGATCGTGCTAGGGCTTTAATTACATGCTTCCATGCCTGTTCTAAGTTACAGAAACACAGCACTTTGTGGCGGCCAGCATAACAGATTTTATATCCATTTAATTATTTAACATCATACAGAACTTTTGCACTTAATTAGCATTATTCAATTACTTCCCAATTAAGAAGTTTCTGTGTGCACTCCTTGTCTGTATCTGAGCTGAGTTGGAAAAAAAAGATGTGTCAGGAATATCATTCACAATTTCATCATAGGTAATTGTGATTGATTTATTGATTGATGTGTTGATGAATTGGGTGATATACAAGAGTTATTGAGTTATTGATTGGCTTTGATGAAACTAAAATTGATAGAAATGTGTTTGTTTAAAAATATTTAAAAAATTAATACTTTTTTAGCATGTACATTTTAGTTGTGAATGTAGAGTTCTGAGCCAATCCTTATTGAATAATACTGGTACACCTGAGTTAGTGATTGGCTTTGAGGAAACTAAAATTGATAGAAATGTGTTTGTTTAACAATATTTAAAAAATTAATACTTTTTTAGCATGTACATTTTAGTTGTGAATGTAGAGTTCTGAGCCAAGCCTTATTGAATAATACTGGTACACCTGAGTTAGTGATTGGATTGGAGGAAACTAAAATTGATAGAAATGTGTTTGTTTAAAAATATTTTAAAAAATTGATACTTTATAGCATGTACTGTACATTTTAGTTGTGAATGTTGAGACCTAAGCCAAGCCTTATTGAATAAAAAACTGGCTTTTAATCATTTTTGTACAGAAAGGTATCAATTAACCTTCAAAAGAGAAAGTATGAATGGGAATGAAATGAGTGATATTGCCAGCTGCACCATTAGGGTTTGGTACACTTACAACTGTAAAAAGTTTAAAGGGAAATCCAACCCAAATAGGCAACTACTCTAAAAAAAAGTAGAAAAATCAGAGAAGCAAACTGATGAAAGTTTTAATTAAATCTTACTAAATGTAAGAAAGTTATGATTTTTTGAAAGTTGTAATCAATATACGTATGGGCAATTCAAATCACCTGAAGCGGTATTGCCAACGTGATGTAGTGCCGGACTACTTTCCCATCTTTTCCAACATATAAAATGACTAAAATTTAAATTTTTCAAAGAAATCATGGCTCAGGAGGGTCTATTCTTTGTACAGGACCTATAATAATATGCTATCTATAATATATTTCGAGTGGCGCCCCAAGGGAGTAGGAACTTAAAAGAAAAATAGAAGGTAGTCATATTTGTGTACACAGCAAATGGGAGAGTTATCCACGTCCTACGTCACAATCCAAAGACCAAACTACCAATTTGAAATTTCAATATACTTTTAAGGATCTCCCAATTTAATCATTCATAACTTCCTTACTATTGATCCGATTCATTTCAGACTGTTGCCATTCTGTTACTGTTATTTTTCTGCTTTCATACAAATCAAATTATTACAAGGGTAGGATTGCCCTTTAAGTATCAGTTTGTATGATTCGGGACAATTATTTGTAAACATAAAGCGGCAGCGGGGGCCCCTTCTCCTTCAACTCATGTAATCCACATTAGTCTGTTGGACTCCTGTTCCAATAGGCTCGTTCACATGATAATTTATACTTCAGGGGGTGTTTCACAAAGATTCTAAGTCGAACTTAACTCTAACTTGGACTTAAAAATTATGGAAAGCCGTCAGCATCTTTGAAAATATTTTGTAAAAGTTATTTTAAAAGGCATAAAATGTTGATTCAAATCATTCATATTTTCTATCATCAAGGAGATTTCATGTTCTGGATTTGGAATTTATAAAAAAAGTCTAAAATACTTGAATTTCTGCTTTTGAATATATTTCCTTTTAAGACTCCAATGGCTGTCCATAATTTTTAAGTCCAACTTAGAGTTAAGTTCTACTTAGGATCTTTGTGAAACACCCCCCAGGTTATTTTAAGTTGTATTTGAAAATTTCACTTAGTATATTATAATATCTGGTTTATCTATAATTTCAATTCATTTTGATGTTGTCATTATTTTTTGTAATGTTATATTCTTCTTTACCGTTTACTTGTAATTCAATATTTTCACATGTTTCTTTAGTATCTCTTACCTTTCCTTCCTTTTCCTCTTTTCTCTTTCTCTTGCGCTTAGAAACATTAGTATTAAGCACTCTATAAATATAATGTATTATTACTGTTTACTCAAAGTTCTTCTTTGACGTTGGTTGTAACACAGTCCATGGAGCAAGATATATCTGCAAATATTCCCAACAATGTACTAGAGCAATCTGAATGTCAATGATCAGCTCTTTCTCAGAAGTCCAGTTTTGATCAGCTCGAGTTCGCCACATATTAAACCCGCTATTTCAACTATCCCCAATCGCAAATTAACCAGTTAATTTGTGACTTCATCAGCCCACAGTTGCAATTAGCGGGATATTTGGTTGAGAAAATATGCAGAGAAATCTTGGGTCTTGTTTCCAAAATATCCCGCTATTTGGGAAATAGCGGGCTAATTTGCGCTTGTCCGAGCTAAATGGTGTAGACGCAATTTCGAGCTTCGAGATAATATCCCAAGTCTGAAAATAGCGGGTTTATTTGGCAAACTGAATTGATTAAGACAGGCCTATCGATTGTTTTGGAGTATTTCCACATATTACGAAAATCAACTGTGTTGTCCCAATTAAGTGCCGTTTATTCCATCAAAGGGCAATCCAACCCTTGTTATAAGTTCGTTTGTAGGAAAGCAGAAAAATAAGATAAACAGAATGGCGAAAGTTTGAAATAGAGCATACCAAATAATAAGAAATCTAAGAATATGGTATCTGATTGTGGTAAAAAAATCTATATTGGAATCTCACAAATTGCTCTTTGTGTGAAAGTACCCCCAATGCAGTCTGATATGGGTGTGAACATTTTGGCAAGATTTCACATGGTTTTATCGGTTTGCTGGCAATCAACAAGCAGATCAACAGGATTTAACATATCTTCATCTGTTTTGAATCTGCAGTTCATTCACATTTGATAATGAACATGATATATTGTTTCATATATATGTGTCTTTTTATATCATGTGTAATAGTATCAGGACTATGGGATAAAAATGAAGGCCTACATATACATGTATATCAATTTGTGTGTGATATATTTTTAGATCATTTGGGGGTTGACTATTAAAGTTTGATGAACCTTTTCATTGTTTTTATAAATTTCAAGTTTCTTTTCAAATGTGTACATGTATACATAAAGACCATCAAATATATTTTAGAGTTGTAGAGTACAGAAGTAGTGTAGTGCCGGCATTGATTTTGTTATTATTAAACAGGATTCCAAGGTCTTTCTAGATTTCAAGCCCAAAGCAGATTCGATAGCCTTGTCCATCATGTGTTGAAGTGTGCAAACATAACAACATTACAATGTCGTTCAGTTTAACAAAATCATATGATTTCTGTCAACCATACACTACAGTATGTAAATGGCCCTTGGGTCATTTTCTTGAAAAATTTTCAACTCATGTTATATTGTAACCCACATATTTTGTACGAACGACTTTGCGCTTCTTGTTTCCATGAAAACATTTGCGCCCCAAAAAATGAATTGCCAAAGTATTCATACGTTGTAAAAAAGATATATTTCATCCTTTTTTGTTTTAGTCTAGATAAAGAATCGATTGTAAGATTTAAACCAACAAACATTGTATGAAAGTGTCACTGAACTCCAATGAGGATAGGTTTTACAGCCTCATTTTTTAACACTCGCAATCCAATTTCGCAATTCAACACTCGCTGTTCACCATCAACCTTATTATTGTTTCTGCTTACGAGTTAATGAAGAATTTCTCTTTTCTTCTTCTCATTACAGTATGCTATGGAAGAATATCAATATCATCAAGCGAGCCAAGAGCAGGAACGCTAACTCCAATGTCAATAAAAAGTAAGAAAACTAAGTGTTCTCTTTCCTTACAATGTAATATATGCCATACTAATCAGTTGCATAGAACTATTTTGATTTTTTTTATGGACGCGTCTTTGATTGCAGGTGTGTTTTATGTTGTTTTTTGAAAATTATTTTCCACACTTTATGTACGCATAATGAGTTCTGGTAGTGACAGAAAATAAATTCTTGCAGAATAAAGAAAATAGTACACTGTATGTCAACAACTTTTTTGGTTCAAGTTGGGTATGAAATTTGTAATGGCTGAGTAATTAGCAAAAGAGTGTTTGACAATGAATCCTTAATATCTATCTTTGTCATAAATAAAGCGCAACATCATACACTATACGCCCATCTACCTGAAGGATATTAATACCAACGCCTGTACTATCAAAAACTGTCAAATTCATTATAAAAAATCAAATCTGCTTGAGTATAAACCACTTGTCCATAAAGACGTTTTTTGTTTCCTGTAAACATGTGTTAAAAGTAAACCTGTCTATAAAAACCGCTTGCCTATAAATGCCATTCTGTGTTACCTTGGGGTGGTCTTTCTGTGCAGAGTTGACTTTAAAGATAGAGACCATTTATGGTCATGCGATTGCATTGTGAAAGAAACGTTGTGGAATCGATCAGAAAAGGTTAATCATCTAGCATATAAGTATTGGTGTGTACTGCAAGGTTCTGGAATCATCAAACTGATAAGAAATTTGGCCCAGTCTTGGTAAGGTTACAAGCACTGTACACGGATTGATGTATATGGGACTACGCACACGTGCACGACACATGCGTTATATCTATCAGGTCCAAATAGATATAATAATTTACCAAATATATCAATTAGTAGCCGGTTTCTCGGCAAAATTTGTATGATCATGTATTAGTCTAAACATATTCTTTCACATGATTGGTCATGAGCTTCCATTTCATTTTTTGAGAGAGGGGCGTTTTCTAAGCTGGTCTTTACCTTTAATGTGTTGTTGTCTTGTCTGTCCTTCCATCAGTAACAGGAAACCACCCCCTCAGAATTTGGGACCCCCAGAGCCTCCTCAAAGGGACTATCGAACAGGTAAGAAAAGATTCTGTGTCTCAAGATTTACCATCTTTGGTTATCCAACCATGGTGATCTAATACATGTTCATAACGATAATAACAATAATGATAGTCACACCTGTCATAGTGGCCACCTCTCTTTAAAGGCCGCCTGTCTATAGTGGCCATGCATTTTGTCTCCCTGGAAACAGAAATGTGTGTTGTTGAACCTGTCTAGAAAGGCCACCTGTTTACAGTGGCCTCTTTTTCTGTTTCCCTTGAGTGGATTGGTTTGACTGTATTATCATTGAACACACACATGTCCACCACCTCATCGTGGCACTCCTTGCCCCTCCTTCATTATTTCCCCAGTCATAGCCTAGTGGCCAAAGATGTAGTGCTCTAGCATGTCGGGTACCCATTTACATTTGGTTGACAATGGCAAATGGGCATGAATGTCTTGCCAAAGGATGTAAGTGCCAGGTTGGGATTTGAACCCTTGATCCTTGGATTGAGAGTCAAGTGAATGAAAGTCAATGAAGGTATCATGATACCTTCATGTTCCTGTGGCTTATGGTTCAGGCTTGATTCTTCCGGGCTTTATTTGGTCCAGGGCCTGGGTATACATTGGAACTCTTGAAGTACCTTACACAAATAATGTACATTGAGCTACAAATATTATGCTCTTGTGTTCTTATACATGTAAGTCATCTACACATCATACAACATTTTCAAATTTCTTAAGAATACACATCAATACGGTTTGACATCTACTCATATATGAAATACAGTTATTTAAATGTTCATTGCTTGCATGTAGTCGGGGCTTGCATGAGGAGTGAATATTGAATACTTTGTGATTGTCAAATCAACATTTTATTGAACTATTCCCTGAAGTATCAGTAATGTATTTTTCCAAGAAGGAATCAGGGTTAGTTTGCACTAGTTCCTGTACTTGCTCCTTATTTCCTTCATGGCAGTATCCTGTTTCCCATTCTTCCTTTACTCAGCCTTATTGCGTAACTATATCAAACAAATGTCAACATAAGGTCATTTATTGGTGTTTCCTTAAATTCCATGATATATTTTAAAAGTGTAGACGTGTTATTATGTTGACATTACAGATGTATTTTAGGCCCACAATCAAATTATCTGACTGAAATAAACTTGTATAGATTCTGCTCTTCTTTTTCTGAGAATTAATGAATAGAATATAATAGCATGGAATGTGTTTTTTGCACAATTTATGTTCCAAACTATCATTAAAATAAATTATGTTATTGATATGAATTCAAGTATTAAAATGAGTAAGATTCTGCTGTCTTATTTTTCTGAGAATTAAGGTGTGTAAAATATAATGTATTTCTGCTCAAATTCAATTTCTAAAGTATCATAAATAACTACATGAAGTTCCCTTCACCTGCTTCAGTCAACTAAAGGAGCAAATGTTAGGCTGCCACCGTCAACTTTTGTCACATGTACAATATATATGGTCAATTCCAAGCATTTTCCCGAGAATTTTTAGTTTTTATAAAATATTAAAGACATGTTGATAACATTCTACATATTAGTGATATGATATATTAACCAATACTGAGGAGGTACTTCAAATTCCAAGCATTTTCCAGAGAATTTTTAGTTTTTGATAAAATATTAAAGACATGTTGATAACATTCTACAAATTAGTGATATGATATATTAACCAATACTGAGGAGGTACTTCAAATTCCAAGCATTTTCCAGAGAATTTTTAGTTTTTGATAAAATATTAAAGACATGTTGATAACATTCTACAAATTAGTGATATGATATATTAACCAATATTGAGGAGGTACTTCAAATTCCAAGCATTTTCCAGAGAATTTTTAGTTTTTGATAAAATATTAAAGACATGTTGATAACATTCTACAAATTAGTGATATGATATATTAACCAATACTGAGGAGGTACTTCAAATTCCAAGCATTTTCCAGAGAATTTTTAGTTTTTATAAAATATTAAAGACATGTTGATAACATTCTACAAATTAGTGATATGATATATTAACCAATACTGAGGAGGTACTTTAAATTCCAAGCATTTTCCAGAGAATTTTTAGTTTTTATAAAATATTAAAGACATGTTGATAACATTCTACAAATTAGTGATATGATATATTAACCAATACTGAGGAGGTACTTCAAATTCCAAGCATTTTCCGGAGAATTTTTAGTTTTTGATCAAATATTAAAGACATGTTGATAACATTCTACAAATTAGTGATATGATATATTAACCAATATTGAGGAGGTACTTCAAATTCCAAGCATTTTCCAGAGAATTTTTAGTTTTTGATAAAATATTAAAGACATGTCGATAACATTCTACAAATTAGTGATATGATATATTAACCAATACTGAGGAGGTACTTCAAATTCCAAGCATTTTCCAGAGAATTTTTAGTTTTTGATAAAATATTAAAGACATGTTGATAACATTCTACAAATTAGTGATATGATATATTAACCAATACTGAGGAGGTACTTCAAATTCCAAGCATTTTCCAGAGAATTTTTAGTTTTTATAAAATATTAAAGACATGTTGATAACATTCTACAAATTAGTGATATGATATATTAACCAAAACTGAGGAGGTACTTCAAATTCCAAGCATTTTCCAGAGAATTTTTAGTTTTTATAAAATATTAAAGACATGTTGATAACATTCTACAAATTAGTGATATGATATATTAACCAATAGGAGGTACTACCAATTCCAAGCATTTTCCATAGAATTTTTAGTTTTTGATAAAATATCAAAGGCATGTTGATAACATTCTACAAATTAGCGATTTGATATATTAACCGATAGGAAGTACTTTTAATTCCAAGCATTTTCCAGAGAATTTTTAGTTTTTGATAAAATATTAAAGACATGTTGATAACATTCTACAAATTAGTGATATGATATATTAACCAATAGGAGGTACTTACAAAACATTTGGGTTTCTTATCAATTATCAACCATTCAAATTTATAATGAATTGCCTAGATTAATTGTTGCTAGGTAGGACAAACATTATGGCTTGCCCTTCCTAGCAACACATAATGTATGCAATTTGCATTCTGACTATTGTTGTACAATAATTCATTACAGGTGAATGAAATAACTTGTGACAAGACAATTCACAAAGATTTGTGCATAGAATTTGATTACATAAAGAAAATGGTGTTGTACCACGGAGCAGTTGTCATAGGAAGTTGTGACGTTCAAACCTAGATGGATACACATGTGGAGAAACATGAAGCTAAAGGGCCCGTTCTTTTCGCTGCTTCCTTGACCCTCTCATCTTAATAACAGGATGAGCTATTTGACATGGGGTCAGCCATCACTGGACCAAGGAAGAATCTAATCTTCTTGTCCGACTGAATTTCCTCATCTTTGTTTTTAATAAGAAGCTTGCTGAATTCTAGATCAGTAGGGCAGTGTCTTTTAAAATGGCCCAAGTCAGTATTTGGGCGATTTAGGGCAATGTGTCCCATATGGCATGCATGATATGGCATTCATTTCATCCCCTTATTTCAAGTTTCTTTTGTGAAGTACTCTTTCTAGTATATACCTTTACTCCCCACTTTTCTTTTTCATCTCCACTAGTCCCCAATATATTTTTTATTTAAGTCCCATATATATATATATATACATGTAAATGTATATGTTTTGTGTGAATGTTTTAAATCTTTTATTTTTTTAATATACTAAAAGTGTTTATTGTTTTACCCTTACATAAATTTGACATTTCTCATGTAATACCCCCTCTTGAAACTTTGTTTAGTGTGATTGTTTTAAATCTTTTATTTTTTCACATACTAAAAGTGTTTATTATTTTACCCTTACATAAATTTGACATATCTCATTAAATACCCCCTTTGAAACTTTGTTTAGTTTAATTGTTTTAAATCTTTTATTTTTTCATATGCTAAAAGTGTTTATTGTTTTACCCTTACACAAATTTGACATATCTCGTTTAATACCCTCTTTTTGAAACTTTGTTTTATTTTGTTTCTATATTTGTTTTAAAAGATGATTATCCCCAAGAACAAGGTGAGACAATCTTCATTCTTCCATCTTTTTGTTTTCCATCTTTTTTCTTTCCATCTTTCCATCTTTCTATTCAGTCTGTTTCTAACATTGACAATTTGTCCACTAACCCAAATCTTTAATATGATTGACAATCCATTCTCATATTCCGGTTAAAGTGAATTTTATGTATTTTTTTTTCTAGTTACTTCTTGTGTTTGTTTTTCCAGCAAACTTTAGTGGTTATATTTGTTTATAAATTCATGAAATTTGTTGTAATTACTGATCATTACTGTAACCTTTCACTCATTTTAAGTCCTCTAGTTGACAAAGTATTTGAAGTAAGACAATATATGACATTGAACTGAATTATTACACATAAAACCAACTTGTGTTTGAAAAGTTATGATTTTGACATGGCAAAGTAAGTATTCCACCCAAGAATAATTCCACAATGAATATTTTCTACTTGCTTCATAAACTATCTTGTTCTTGCTTATTTATAAGCAACATAGATGATAGTAGTACTAAATCATTTGCTTATTTTAAAAGCTTTTTCATATTAATACTACATTGCCATCCTCAGTTAGGTTTTTCAGACATCATATTAATCTAGCACAGTCAGATCTATTAGGAATTAGTTTGACTTGTGCAAAATTCCACTTAGAAAGTGCAAATTACACATGTTTTGCATAGTTTGATAAATATTTAAAAAAAAAAAAAATCATTTGCCATATGTAGTGAAAATTCAACTTGTGCAACTCTGAGTTATGCAGGGTTAAGTGTATTAAATTACACGTTTTTTGCCCATATCACCTTCACACATGTGGATCTGTAAAATCTGATTTATTTAAACAAAATTTCTTTGAAACATAGGTAAGGTAATGTCATCACGAAACTAAATTCATCACGTTAAGAAAACTGTTTGTTGATTTTGTATAGTAATTCATATCACCATAATATGCACCCCAAATGCCGGTGAAACTTGGCCCAAATTTTGAATATGGGCCCTAGTTTCATCTTACTCCTGCTCTTAAAAATGGCACGATCCACTGATCTTCATGTCCGACATCTTTTTGTTGGTGCAATATCATATTAATTGTGTGCACCTTATCAGAATTCTCATTTTGGTAACTTTTTTTCAATATTTGAAGTTGGTGTTGAGGAAGAGACGTACGAAGTATTCCACGAAGGTAAGGGCAATGTTTTGACTGCCCCCTACCCCCCAGCACTGCATCAAGGCTTGTTTGTAGATAGATATAGAATATAGATAGAGCCCCCCCCCCCCCACAAAACTATACTATACTCGCCCCTTGTAATACCCCTACCCCTCCCACTCCTGGACGTTAAATGTCATTTTTCTGAAGGTTTGTAATTCCGACAATGACGTAACTGCAGTATGTCTTTTTTTTCGTTGCTATTCTTTCCATCCCATTTTCTGAAATATTTTCATTTAGATTTTCAAGTTTATGAACCCTATTTTCATTCCCCCCCCCCCCAAGAATTATAAGGCTTATGTAATTTTTTCAGAATTATGAATCCTTTTTCATTCTCAGAATCAAAAACCTTAAGAATCATGAACCTCTTGGTGATGCATCAAATGTTTGGAAATATTAATCCCCAATTTTATTTTTAAGAATAACAAACACCTGGAACTGAAAATTTGTGTTTTGGAATTATGAACCTTCAGAAAAAACAGGTAACCTCCTCCCTCCCCCCCCCCCCCCCCCCCACCGAATGGAGAAGAACCATAGTCATCCATTCAAGCTTTTCAGTAGAATAGTTGAGTGTAGATGGTGGCAGGCAACTAATGAAAACAGCTGCTGTTTAATCGATCAACCAACAAAATATGTATTGTTTGAAAATATGATTTTACTCTTGTCTTGTCGTGAAGGATTGATCCAGGCTTAGATCTGGGGTGTTTCACAAAACTTGTCATCAGTGACAAATGAAAGTTTTTGTTATAAGCTACTGAAATCCTTGCTTCTGATTGGTTATCAGCAGAATTGTCACTAATATTTGTCATTTGTCATTGAAAAAAGGCTTTGTGAAACAGGTCCCAGTTCAGAGCCAGAGGGGCTTTAACCCTGTGCTGAAGTGTATGAGTTAAAGCCCTTTTAGCTATAAACAGACTAAGACGTTTGGTCCGAGAATGACTATTTATTCTTTTTGAAAGAGAAACATAATTCATGCAGTTTTACATTGGTTCCCGAAAAAGATCGTAATGCCTAATTTCATTATAAAATGGGAAATGAAACTCATAGTATGGTTTTAAAACTTTCACTTCTGGAAGAAGTTTATAAACTTAGTGGCATGCTTATGGTCGGTAAAATAAAATCATCATGAAAGACTGTTTACCCTTTAAAAACCTTTTTTTACCTTTTTTGTTGCTGGCTTTGCATGTATTTTTGCTACATATTTGGATGCTTCTTGGTTGGTAGATACGTGTACCAAAGTATCACAGTTTATTGAATATAAAGGAATAGCACGCTTGATAGAAATGTATCATTGTATGTACCTAATTTGTACTTGTGTATAAATCTTTTTATATAAAGTTCTAACACCAACATCTAAGTAAATAAACTATGTAAGTACCTGTATTAACACAATTTTACTCACAAAGAAATGTATACATTTATTTTGCACTTGTATAGATTATTTTTCCTAGAGTGAAACAAGATGAAAGGTTTGGAGCAGCTATACCTCTTAATTTGTATTAGTTCTTTTACTTATACATTTTTAAGAGTAACCCTCAAAGATAAGCTTGAGTTCTGGTAATGATAGAAAATAAATTATCACAGAATCCAACGAAACTTACACTGAATGTAATATGTGAAAATGAGAGTTGAGGTTTTTATTGAAGAAGATTTCCAGCAAGATGTTGTGAGTTTGTTTTGCAGGATAAACAATCCAGAATTAATCATGGCAATTTTCTCTCGAAATATGATTCCCATACCAGAGCTCAAGATTAGCTTTAAGAGTATACCTTGAAGTTGATGGACAAAATCAGCTGTTAGGAGCAGAAGGGCTTTAACCCAATATTTTTTGCAGAGTTAACACCCTACTGGTCCCACACTGATTAATCAAATTGTAGAAAATAGACTTTTTTTGTATCAATGAACAACTTCCATACATAATTTCAACCAATTATTATTTTACAAAGCACATGCACTTTTAAATTGTAATAAGTGGGTACATGCTCACATGATTGCAAAAAACTCTCAAAAGCCTTGCCGATCACCTTTTGAAATGTGCTTACATTACAATGACATATTATGTATTAACTGAACATGATTTCCATGGGACCTACAGTAAGGTATTGACATTCTTGTTGAGTTTATTTTCTGGGAAGTCTTTTCGATCGTGTTGGGGGTAGTTTCTGCGATAGGAGAATGCACTGTTCTTCAGATGAAACGTGGAATAAGACCCTAATGGGGTCAAATATCTGGGGGTGTTTCACAAAGACTAAGATCAACTTTAAGTTGGACTTAACTATGGCAGGCCATTCATGCCACTGGTTGCTCTCTCCATTGGTCTCTCAATTGTGATCTTCAGAAAATATTTTGTCTCCAATAATGAACTATCAAAAGATGTATATGCTGTAGATTTGTGACCACGATTGGTACGTCCCTTGAGAAACCAATGCTGGTAAATGATGAGAGAAAATAATGGCATGAACAGCCTGCCATAGTTAAGTCCAACTTAAAGTCGATCTTAGTCTTTGTGAAACACCCCCTGGTGATGAATACTAACTAAACCACTACCTACTCCTCTCTCAGATGAAAGTGCACAACACATAGAGGAAGAATATGAAGGTGAGAGCCGATTCTCGTGTCAATCAGAAACTTTGCGCTTATTACAGCTTCGCATGAAAATATAGACTTTCCTCATTTACACCTTCACCGAATATCTCTTTGATTTGGGGTGATGGTACGCGCTTTTGGCTGTAAATACACTGTTTATGTTTAATAGCAGAGTTTGTGGGTATAATTTTTCTGATACTCAAGGGCAAATGAATAATATTTGTGGAGATGCCTGCAAATGTACACACACATGTACATTCTATCACCATGGGGGCCTCAGGGTTAAATATGCTTTTGGTTATTAAAGCTTTTACTGCTGTATTTATTATGCCTTTAAAATCCCAACTGCACTACTTATACTTGTGCCCTCTATATAGCAAACAATGCCTAATCGGTGCCTGTGGGTCCCCCATGATCCTCTTTTTCTTATGATAATTGAGAGCCAATTTGATGAGATACCACCTCTCAGTGACCTTGCAGGGAGGTCTAATCCCCCTGGCCAAACTAGTACAGACAGGCTTTAAGGTGTGTGATTGTTGTTCTTGTTGTATCTAACTTCAACTTCAACCCCCCCCCCCACTCACACACCAAATGGTGAGGATGAGAAAAAGACGAGGCAACATTCAAAGAATATCATATGACTCTCCCCATGCCCCCCTTCCCATTTCTTTGGCCATGTTCTCTTGCATTAAATTCCCAAGGTGTATGAGGTCTCCCCCATCCATGATACCAGTGGCTGAACCCATGCTCTGCTACAGTGGTCAGACAGATTGATACATATCCTAAAAACTTAAAGGTATAGACCAGTTTTGGAAACGCCCCCCCCCCCCCCCCCCCCGCAAAAATGAAATGGAAGCTCTCATTACCAATCATGTGAAAGAATATGTTTTGACTAATACGTGATGATACAAATTTTGCCGGGAAACCGCCTACTAATTGATATTTTTGGTAAATCATTATATTTCAATTATTATTGTAGTCCCCTATACATCTTTCTGTGTACAGTGCTTGTAACTTTACCAAGATTGGGCCAAATTTCTTATCATTTTCATGATTCCAGAACCTTGCAGCTAGTACACACCAATACTTATATGCTAGATGATCAACCCTTTCTGATCGATTCCACAACGTTTCTTTCACAATGCAATCGCATGACCAAAAATGGTATTAATCTTTAAAATATACATGGACATTGCATACTTGATTATGTCAAGGACGTAGATAATTTCACTTTTGATATGGAAATGTGAAATCAGCCAAAGATATGAAATTAGTGCAAATTCAAAATATTTTTAAAGTTCCATTTCATTTAAAAATCATCTTTTACATACATTATTTTCCTCACAGTGAATATAACGGGCTCTTATTGAAAACTGACTGTAAGAGCTTCAAACTATACACTATCAACTTTCAATGTAACAATCTACAGCTTCTAACTTGTACTTAGTTGACAGATGAATAACGTGTCACATTTTTAATGATTTTTTTCTGTGGCGTGCTATATGTCAGTGTTTAGTCAAATAATTTCAATCTTTGAATAACATCTGTAGTGACTGTTGAAAATATTGTGTCATTGCGTAGTGTGCATTAGCTTCTATTAACATCAAATATCAATGGCCCTTTCGGCTTTCAAGGCTTTGCATTAGATTGTGATGGTGAAGTACAGGTATTATGCATTTAAATGTTGTGCTTGATTTGAGCCTTTCAGGCCCATTTTTTGTTGTTGGAAAGCCCTTGTCGATATCACGGTAAACCTCTTTAAAAAAAAACACTGCACCACCGCTTCAAAATATCACATACATGTATATGTTATGCGCTTCATAACTCTGTATCTTCAATATGGCACAAACTGATGAGGAGGTTTTGTATTTTACTCCTCAAACTATTGGTTTTTTAGGGGTTAAATTTTTTTTTTTTATACCTTATTGAGTCTGTATAGAACTTTCCTAGACATTTTCTCTGATACTCATTGTTATGAAACTCACGGACCATACATACGATTTCCACATGCCCTCTGTACAAACTATGTTCACCTAAAGGTCTTTGCTTTTCTCAGGTCCCAAACTATATATGGCCTCTCTTCCTGCTACCTTCAAAAAAACTGTTCAGCATTTAAAGGGATCCGGTAACTTTGTCTTAGATCCTTCAAAAAAATCCTTGATTTAGCTCATGCTGCAATGATAATTATAAACCTTTAGGTCAGTCAGGAACCCAATGGCTTTTACAAGCCGATTGTCTGTCTGATTATCAAGATATTTATGATTGAAAAATCGAAATCAAATTTTGTGTTTGCCAAATGGTTTTCATAACACTACAGTCTATATGGGAAAACGAGTATGGAAAAACCGGCCACTCAAAGGTTTTTACTTTTTTGAGGCACTTCTTTGATCATTTTGAAGCGAATTTTTGTTTCAGGCTTCAATATAACACCATATCCCAGACACTGATGTCACGTAGGGCCGTGCATCTCAGATTTAACATTGGTAGATAATCCCTTTAATGCTTTTGAAGCCTGTATAAAGAATTCAGTACTGATAAACACATGCCCTCTTTAATAATTGAAGTATTGCAATGGGGTTATTTATGTGTTTGCTTTTCTTTCTCCTCATTCCTTTTTAATTTCACCCGACAATTTTTGCAGTGGCCCTTCATATACTCTAGTCTACTATTTTCTAATTCTTTTCTAGTCACTCGACTTTTTTCTATCTTGTATTTTTTCCTGCTTTGTATTTATGTAATTTATATATTGTAAATGCTTTGCTTTGTATTGTTTTGTTGTTTGATTTCACTGTATACTTTGTATACATGTACTTGAATGATGTACATTCTTTTTTTATGAAGTGAAAGATTATATATTTGAATTTGAATTTCTAGCATTTTATAGTATGTGTAAGCCAACAGAACATGGCAAACATGTATGTATGTGCATTCATGATTGGTAGTTTCTTTTGCACTTTTAATTACTTTTATTAGAGCTTCAAGCTTAACTTGCGCATTTCTTTTTAACCATTGCTTACTGGAACCGGCTGGTCCCAGTGTTAAGCCTATGGAAAGTTGATGATTCAGTAGTCGGCGAGTTAATTATTTGGTAGACTTTCCAATTTACAAAACTGAAGATGAAAGTTAAGAAAATGTTCATGGGGCAAAGTGACCCATAAGCTTACTGTTTCATCCTCTTACACCTTCATACCGGGCCAGAATAGGAAATATAACGAAGAGTTTGGAATGACTGTAGCAGAACAGAAGTCGCCCTAAAATAATGCAGTGTTTTTAAAAGTGAAATTTGTCAAAATAATGTTTAAATTTCACAGATAGGACATTCGTGACATATTCATAATTCCTGCAAAATTCTACAAAATTTGATGTTGGCTGCAAAAGGGAGACACTACCTTTAAAGGAGGTGGGGGACGTGCAGGGTAACCCCCCTCATTTGTTGATCAAGCCCCCCACCTGTCCCCTATATCATTGACCTTGTGTTGATATGGACAGAATCATCAAGCCCTACAGAGCGTAAAGCACTTCCTCTCTGCTGTAATCGTTAAAGTCTCTGGGCTTTGGGTAGTATACATGTATATAAGGGTGCGTTCAAGCGACACTTTTTCACCCTAGAAACACGGCTTTCAAAGACGTTTAGTTTAAAACACGGTTGTGGTCAAGCGATTTTTGGTCGGTCGTGAAAAATAAACGTGTTTAAAAACGCAAACATGAAACGCTGAAAAAGATGCGTTTTGCGGTCGCTAAAATTCGCTTGAAAGAACAGAGATCTCAATCATGATTCCATGACGTCATTATCCTCGCCTGCTTCCGGTGTGACCGACAGTCGACCGTAAAACCACAGACTGAAAGCACGCGGCAAAGTTGACCTACACTTTCTGGGTCAAACTGCACAGTGTGATGAGCAGTGGCTGGGCTTGAAATGAGCGAGAATCAGCGTTGATGAAAAATCACTTGAACGCTTTACCGCAGTAACAATGTTTTTTAACGGTGTTTTGATTTGTGATTCATGTTAGTTAGTTACCTTCAAAAAAATCGCTTGAACGCACCCTAACTCTCCACTCCGGCATGTAGAAGTCACTTCAGGTAGAGTCTCTCGCTGGCTGCGGGGAGCCCAGGATATTAAATCTTCTTACACCTCTCATTTCCGTTTTACTTGTACCAGTTTCCTCTGCAGTCCATCGCTAATCTGCGGTATGTGTGGATGACATATTTGCCTGTCAATCATCACTTAGATTTGACCCCTTCCTCGCCCCCTGACTTCTCCCACCTTCTTCCACCCCTCCTACCCCATCGTCTCTAACCCCCTTCCACCCCACCCCTCCCCCTCCTACCCCACCCCTCCTACCTACCCCCTCCTACCCCAACCCTCCTACCCGACCTCCTCCTACCCCACCCCTCCTACCCACCCCCTCCTTCCCCACCCCTCCTACCCACCCCTCTTACCCACCCCTCCTACCCCACCCCTCCTACCCCACCCCTCCTACCCCACCCCTCCTACCCACCCCTCCTACCCCACCCCTCCTACCCACCCCCTCCTACCCACCCCCTCCTACCCCACCCCTCCTACCCACCCCTCCTACCCCACCCCTCCTACCCACCCCTCCTACCCCACCCCTCCTACCCACCCCCTCCTACCCCACCCCTCCTACCCACCCCCTCCTACCCCACCCCTCCTACCCACCCCTCCTACCCACCCCTCCTATTCCACCCCTCCTACCCCACCCCCTCCTACCCCACCCCCTCCTACCCACCCCTCCTACCCACCCCCTCCTACCCACCCCTCCTACCCCACCCCTCCTACCCCACCCCTCCTACCCACCCTTCGTACCCACCCCTCCTACCAACCCCCTCCTACCCCACCCCTCCTACCCGATCCCCCTACCTCACCCCTCCTACCCCCTACCCACCCCTCCTACCCCACCCCTCCTGCCCACCCCTCCTACCCCACCCCTCCTACCCCACCCCTCCTACCCCACCCCTTGTGTAGTTATTTTGTAAATCAGATGCCAATCCTGCACTTTTACTTGTAATTTTGTTTGAAGCAAACCCACTTCATGCCACATGTCAATGGAAAGTGTTTTGTTCATTACCCTTCAGTAAGATACACCCCTTTCCCCTGCTGGGTGGGGGGGGGGGGAGGCTTGATAGAAAGTTATTTTGAAAGAAAGGAAGTATGAAATTGTGCAGTAGTGAATAGTTAAAAAGATTCTAGGACAACTATTACTGGGAGGGCTAGCTATCACCCTGTAGACATATTTACTTCCTGGAAAACACCCCCCCCCCCCCCTCCCCAGCTCTGAAGGTGACTCGGAAAGAAAACTACCTCCGTTTCTCTAAGTAGTTATTTCGGGAGCATTTAAATACATAACGTTGTGAGAGGCTTATTGTTTTGGTTGTTAAAAGTCTAGGGATTGTCATTGTTATATGGTGTTAGAAAAATCATTAGTTATGTTATTTCTAATAGTTGTACAGATTTTTAAACAGCTCAAACAACAGTTTGCACCTCTGTCTTAAAAACTTCAAATTAGTCATTGGATGTCTTAATCTGGCAGAAATTAATATGTATACAAAAGCAGCATCCAGCTGACTATACTATCTGACCATGACCATGACCTAACTTTCTTTTAAAGAGGTCAGTTGTTTTTTTAAGGTAAATTTTTAAAGGCTGGGGTCACAGTTGCCAAAGGTTCAATGTCATACCTTGCGATTGTGCACAAGGTGCTTGGCATGACACCAGTCTAAAAATAGTTCTGAGGCCATCATAGGCTCCCCTGAGTGTTACTCATCACAGGTACCCCCGAAGACGGTATGGGGTTCAGATCGATTGCATCATTGTAATTCCATTGTTAAGTGCTAGCTGACCCACTTTTGGTACACCCGAGAATCATCAGATTCCTGTGCATGGATGTATAATATGAAATTCTCTCAAATACCAAAAATAGGGTGACATAATAATAATGATAATAATAATAATAATAATAATCTTTTAAAGTCCACTCCAAATTTTATTAAGTTAAACCGAAAATGGAAATTCTTTTTTGCCCAATTGATCGTGAGCCCGGCAGCCACTGAGCAGCACCAGATCGATGTTACTCTATCCTCTATTGTTGAACGCCAAACAAGGTAGCAGCAACTCCCGTCTTTTAACGTCTTTTGGTATGACGCGTCCGGTGTTTGAACCCACGACCTCCCGGTTGTGAGGCGGACGCTCTACTGACTGAGCCATCCATTCCTATTTTGGAGGAGTGATTCCTATTTTTTGGTCTTCAAGCTATTATTTCGAACCCTAGCTTCTTTTTTTCTGAAACATTTTGTGTGAAAATAATACAAAATAGAGTGTATTCCTAATCTTGCCATGAGAGATAACAAATTTTTTTCAGTCGAAAGTTGGCAGGTATCAGGTGAAGAGTATTTTTAGGGCCCTTGCTCATTCGTAATTCACCACAGTGCATTATGTTTAAAGTTTATGTTGGCCTGGAAACAGCTTTTGAGCTCAGTATAGATTCTTTAGCTAGTTTTAGAACAATGGTTACTGTAATATATATATATATATATATATATATATATATATATATATATATATATATATAATGAATAGTAGGTGAAATCATATTGTGACAGGGAACCTAGTGTTTGCTTAAGGTTTGCTTACTATAGCACCAAGTGATTTTTTACACATTGTATATTGAAAGAAAAGGCAGCCAATATTTGTTATTATTAATCATGTCTTGTACCTCAATTTTCCTTAGTACATCCTCATGTTTTTAATTACTTTTAATATTGAACACAGGGAGAAAAAACACTAATTTGTCCTTATACTCAATCATTTTGCAAGGACTGTGCACATACATCCATTGTCTTAGCATTTGGGTATTTAAACATGTATTCACTTTTTTACGCATGCGCACTCCCGACCCATGTGATATGGAGAAACACTTCACGGTCATCTGAGTACTATTTCACAAACTTGAGAAATGTTTTGAAATTGAATGGTCATCTAGGAACTTTTGCCCAAAGCCCCAAAGCAATAGATATTGCTACATTAATTTTTCAGGTTGGTACAAAATCTTCATACAAATAGTAATGATGGATATTTGTCTTATTTCTCGATATGATTTTTTTCTAGATACGGAAGACGATAATATAGATTGTTTCACAGATGATGAAGAAGAAGTAGAAGTAAGTTTTTATTTCATTATTCATTTCATCAGTATTTACTGCGTGCCCAGCAGAACACCAAACATGTGCATGGAAAGCAAATGTACTGAGCTAGAAATATGATAATCCTACATTTGCTCTGGCGACAATTGCTCCAGGCTTTATTTTGTCCTTGGATATGAGTTTTCAAGTTTTAGTCCTCATGGATGCATAACCACCCACTGAAGTTGAATTGCTTGGAAAATTACGACAAATGTCAAGGCACATTTCCAAGTTGATTTATGAAGCATAAGAATGCCATTTTAAGATTATGCTTGCATCGTTTGAAGCTTATTATAGACCAGTTTTGGAAACGCCCCCCTCTCAAAAAATAAAATTGAAGCTCTTAAATTATCAGTCATGTCAAAGAATAGGTTTTGGCTAATACGTGATGATACAAATTTTGCTGGGAAACTGCCTACTAATTGATATATTTGGTAAATTATCATATTTTTCCGGACTGGATAGATATCGCGTAGTCCCATATACATCTTTTTGTGTACAGTGCTTGTATCTTTACCTAGACTGGGCCAAATTTTCATTTTGATGATTCCAGAGCCTTGCAATACACACCAATACTTATATGCTAGATGATCAACCTTTTCTGATCGATTCCACAATGTTTCTTTCACAATGTAATCGCATGACCAGAACTGGTCTATACCTTTAAGCATCTAAAGTTTTCAAAAGGAACATTCATTAATTTTGTTCTCCTTCATTTCAGAGTGATAATGGAGAGTACTTAGATCCGACCGAGGATATCCCTAGAGGTCCACCACAGGTTCCTTCTAGACCTACCGATCTTAACGGTGAGTACCTAGAACTGAATCTAAGGTAGCTTTATAGTTAAATGTAGCAGCAGGAAAAGACGCCTTTGGAATGCAAAAAAGGCATAAACGTTGGTGATGTTTAATAATTCAAATTTCTTCTTTTGAAATAGCTCAGTGAAAGTCTAGGTAAATAAAGGTTAACCGAGGTCATGAATTTACCAGCTCCCCAAATCATTACTACATGTAAGTGCCTAGAAATAACCTTTACCTATACATGTATGTTCTAGACCTATTCTCACCTCAATGATGAGTACCATGGAACTAACCCAAAATGCCTTTGGTGTCTTCTAGACCTACCCCAACTCAAATGGAGCATTTAGACTGTCAAATACCTCATTAAAAATATTATTTAAAAAGAAATAAAAATAAAATCAAAATTTATTTGTTTTTGTTGGCTCTGCCGTTTACACTCGGGCTGAAACATCACCGACTGAATTAAAGCTCAGTGATGTTTGGGCGTGTTTCGGTTGGTAATGGGCATGTGCGGTCTTCCCGACCTTTGACCCTGGCCCTGGCCCTGCCCCTGCCATTAAATTGGTAACAATCGTGAAGTGCTGAATGTCATGTGCCAAATATTGTGATTTTTCAGCTGCTACCAAACATCACATAGACATTAAAACAAATCACACTCCGGCTTGGAATGTTACTGGCTAGGCATCTTTTGCGGTTTAGCGTAGTTGCTTAGCAAACTTCACCCAAAGATCGCGGTCAGGCCCCTGTTTGGCATCGTTTGGCATGTTTGGTTGCAAGTGTAAATGGCCCTATAGATGAGTTCTTATACTCTGATCCTAATCTTTACTGTACATGTAGAGAACATGAGCTATGCTGGCTCCAAACAGACAATATGCATCTTTCCAATAATGACTACATTTTATATTAATGGAAGAGCCTGGACTGCATTAATTATGTGCTGGCTTGTAATCATTTGCCAAACATGCCAATTTTGTAATTCTCACCCTTATTGCATTATCATCAGACAGCGTCTGCCAACGCCTTGTGTGTCTCATCCTAAACATGTCCACTTAAAGGGAATTATATCCCACCGCTGACATCAATTAATATCTGGGGGTACTTTTATCAGGGCGATAGTGATTGCCTATTGACTGTTGACTGTTTCTATGTGCGTTTCTATGTTACATGTATGTTTGTATTATACACTTTGTACTTTGTGACCTTGCCAAATACAGCACACCAGGATTGAAAAGCTATTGTTCTCTGATTTATAATTAAACATTAAAAAATAGATAGGCAGAGATCATGAAAGCTGAAATGTATTAGCTGGGAATCAAAGCCTTTGGAGAAAGTTGGCCTGAATAAAAATAAGACAGATTAGTTAACGTTTAAGAGAAATCAGATGAATAAGAAATGTTTTTAAAGTTGAGATCACTATTCATCTCAATTCGATTCAATTCAATAAGGGTTTATTCAAAATGACGTTCTTGCAGCCGAAGCTGAATTGCATGGTCATTTACAAGATAAAATACATCATAATGGTTAAAAAAAAAAAGCATTGTACACGTAAGCATCAAATAAATGACATATTACGGGAGCAATATGTCACATGAAAAGCATTGCTCTTGAAATGCCTTCATATTCCAAATAATAACAAATAAAGTTTGTTTGCCTCTTTGCACCAAATTGGCACAAAATAAACTTAGGTGCCACTTGTATGAGGAGTCCTGTTAACTCTTATTTGTGTGTAGTAATGCCTTTCCACTCTATGTGATTTTCCAGCAAGATTTACAGATTAAAATTCTCACCATACACAACCATTCCCCAGTTATGTTGGACAGTTTTATTTAACAATAGAATTACATAACCCATCCTCAACTTTGCCTCTATAAAATAATAATCAAGGAATGTGGCAGAATTCTTGTCTCTTTAAAATGTCAATTCATTTATAGCAGTATTAATGAAGAAGAATTTTTGCTTCTTATTTAGGGAAAATGTTGAGATATTTACCTTCCCTTTTTATAGAGGAAGAACAGATCACTAAATATATATCTTTGGGATCAATTAACATTTACTTAATGATAACCAAACAGAGAAATCACTGCTAGCTTTGGACTTTACCTGTAATTATACTCGGTCATCTATAGATATAAATTATTTTTAGAGATCGATATTGTTTGGGAATCAGGAAAAGCAAGCTATCTTCAAAAGTCATAGTGCATTTATACAAAGGAGTGTATAGGGAAGTAGTCTTTTATTTATTTTATTCTTCTAAAAGATAATATGAGGTAGTTTTAGGAAATCACCTCCTTTCATTAAAAGCGGGACAGCACGGCCCAACTCATTGTTGCAACTTCTGTGTGGATTTGCCAGATCAGCTTTCCCCTTGATATATTATATTACTGCCATGCCATGATCATGTGTATACATAATTTTAAGTTTGCCGGTAAATAAGTCATTTGCAATTCCTTCCCTGAATCGAACCTTGGCAGTGTTGAGACGAAAAGAATAAGGCAGAATGCAAGGTAATTGCCATGTTTTATGATGTTTAGGACGGATCTTCGTCCACACTGTTTAGAGGGGCAGAGCTGTGAAGATGCAGTTTGGAATTTACTGGGTTATTGTATAGAAAAGAATTTGTCTTTCCTCGTTTTTAGTACAGTGGTATAAAGATCAGTGCTGGTTTACTAACAGTATGTCGACTATAGGTAAGAGATTTAATTAAACATTTTGTTTAGAGGAGAAGAATCTCCTTGTGAGTCTGCTGAGAGCCAGAAGGGCATTAAATCATATAATTTTAAATAGCCCAGATTTTTTGCTGTTCTTGCTCTTAGCAAAGGATATTGACGAATGCGACTCATGATGACTTCATTTATTTCAAAGTAATAATTCATCTTTTAATGGCTTTGTTTTGCTATCCTCAGCATCTTGGGGACAGCCAGCAAGAGCAAATCCCCTTACTGAGTTGGTGAGTATGATTTAAAAAAACATTTTACAATATCGGGGGGGGGGGGGGGGGGGTGTTTTACAAAGATCCTAAGTTGAACTTATCTCTAAGTTGGACTTATCAATTATTGAAGGCCGTTAGCATTTTTGAAAATATTTTTTAAAGTTATTTTAAAAGGCATAAAATGTTGATTCAAATCAATTGTATTTTGTATTATCATGTTAGATTTCATGTTCTTGATGTGGAATTTATGAAGAGTCTAAAATACTTAAATTTTTCTTTTTAATATATGTACAAATGGCTCTCCATAATGTTTAAAGGTAAGTCCAACTTAGAGTGAAGTTCGACTTAGGATCTTTGTGAAACACCCCCTAGTACAAAAATGTGACATGTATTCATTACGTCAATGGAATACATCGGTAACATTCAGGAGTTCTTGCTGTGCAGTATTCACACGTTCCTGTTGGGCTTTTTGTGTGTTCATTTCCATATTTTGTGACAGCAAAAAAACAAACATATATGGGATGTACCAGTGTTCATATGAGCAAGTTGCTCTCTATATTATTATTATTATTATTATTATTATTATTATTAGGCATTTAGCTACGCTATTCATAGTACACTATATCACAGCGCTTACAATAATAACCACAAATCATAACATAACATAACATTGAACAAAAAACAAAAAAAACAAAAAAAAATAGCGAATCAAGTAGGAAATAAATAGGTTTTAAGGAGTTTCTTAAAAACATCCACTGATGCAGCAGCTTTGATACTGGAGGGAAGTTTATTCCACTCCTTAGCTGCTGCAACAGTGAATGTGCGATCTCCTGCCTTACTACGAGCCACATGAAATGTCAGTCGAAATGGGTCTGCATTGGAGCGAAGGTTTGTACGTACAGTACAAGTATGTGGATGGGAAGGAATAAGCTTAAACTAAATGAGGAAAAGACAGAGTTTTTGGTAATCGGCTCCAAACACAACTTGGGAAACATTAATGATGTTAATCTTACATTCGGAACCACCCAGATTGCACCATCTACATCGGTCAAGAACCTTGGTGTCATTTTTGATTGCAATATGTCCATGTCTAACCAAATAGACCAGCTTTGTAAATTTGTACGATATCAGTTGAAGAATGTATCACAGATTAGGAAGTATGTATCTGAAGATGCATGTCATCATGTGATTCGCAGCCATGTTCTTTCCCGGTTGGATTATTGTAACGGGTTGCTTACAGAAGTCCCTCAAACATATATAAGAAGACTTCAAAGTTTACAGAACTGGGCGGCTCGTATTATTTTTCGTTTAGACCGTCGTCACGATGCCATGCCTCTACTAACATCCCTTCATTGGTTGCCAATCAAACAGAGGATTGTTTTTAAGATTCTTTTATTTGTATACAAATTTTTTCATGATCAGGCACCAGAGTATTTTAGTGACTGTCTTGAGTTCAGGTAATTGGTAAATCAATAATGATAAATCAAAATCGATTTTAGCAACTGTCCACCAAAAAAAGTATATTCTATTCTCAATTGCATTAACTCCATCACATAGATCACTTGAAGATTCTTATTACTCTTTAATAGCAGGTAGAGTAAGGGTGAGTCATTCCAGCTTGAGATAAAATAACCCCCCCCCCCTACAGGCGTATACAAGAGACATGTTAGACCCCACTATACATTTTCTTCAAAAGTGTTTGCCACATGTCATATATTTGTAATCTTGAACATTCAGTGTAAGTTGCATTGGATTCTGTGAGAATTTATTTTCTATATTTACAAGAACTCAAGTTTATCTTTGACTGCATGAGGGCCCCCTAAGACATGTCAAGAATAAATGCTGTACTCGATTCCTGGCAGAGATTCTAAGGATTGAGAGGTATCTGGAGGTTGTGCTTAGAAAAATAAAGAACCTTGGATCTGTCAAAAATTGTGATATTTGCACCAATTGTTTTCCGACAAGGTTGTTGAAGTTATCGGCCGGAAAGGGATCGTTAGGAGAGAATGTATTTTGTACAAAGGCAATGTCATTGCGATCTAGCCCATTATTAGTGTGTGTATTGTTTTAAGAGCTAGGATAATGTCTCTTATAAGACGTGATACCAATCGGAGAAGCAGGAGGGATAATATGTATTGCTCCAAAGTGTTTTATCACACTCTGATGGGATGTGCGCTTGAGGTGCAGGAAAAGCGAAAGAGGGCAAATCATCGGGTAATTATTTAACAAGTTGAATAAAGCTTTCATTTGTTTGGTTTAATACAGTGTTTGACTTAAGTGTACAATGTACCTGTACATGTATATAACTATGTTTTTGATGCCTGATCCATACTGTTTTTAGTCTGTAAAATTATAATAGATTGATATTGTAACTGTGTTTATAGTCTGCGAAATGATAACATTAAAATTGGCTGAATCAGTAACATCTCTGTGATGTATAGTGCCGGACTACTTTCCTATTTGTTCCAACACTTAAATGAGTAAATGTCATATTTTTCCAAAATATATGACTTGGGAGAGTCTTTTATTTGTATAGGACCTATGATATATAGGGGTACATGACAAACAGGATAGTTGCCTGTGACTACATCACAATCTACTAATAAAATATAGTTACAGTGATCTTACATTTCGGACATTCTATCATAACTCTCTTCATATTAGTCCAATGTATTTCAAACTTTTACCATTCTGTTTCTGTTGTTTTTCTGCCTTAATTCATTATCGTTTCCTGTTTTCACAAAGTGAGGGTAGTTAGGAAAATCTGCACGCAAATTGTATGCGATTTTCCTCACTACTGGCACTTCGTGAAAATAGGGACGAAATACACTTATAATTAAGGGTTGGATTGCCCTTTAAAGCATGCATTGTGCATGTGTTGCAAGCATGTATTGTCAAAGAGATTTAGCTTGTATTTGTCGAGTGAATGTGAATGTGTGCATGCTTTCCTATCAGAGTTTGAATGCTTACAGGTAGTTGTGTTCCCATAGCACACCAAACAATAGGTACTTTTAGATTTGCACGAAGGCAATGGGGATTGCTACGATCGACGTCCTTTTAATGCACTATCTTGAATGGACATCGCACGTATCAGTCCATGCAAATCTAAAAGTCGCTATTGACCCCTCATCTTGTACCTGTATTAATACAAATTAAGTTTACAAGGTACCTTTAAACCTTGTGGCACTAAGAGATGCGTCCAGAACGCCAAAGGGGTAATTGTTGGTGACGTTCGTGAATTAGAACAATTTCTTAACATATCCGAATGAGAATGTAGCTTATATTAAGCCTGATGAAGATTAGTACATTTTTTTACTAGAATCATATCCTAAAGATTCACATTTGGTTCACATCTTGCACAAAGAAGATGAAAGACTAAAAGCATGGCTGATCGTCAATGAAACGGAGTTAGGTCTTTTGTCAACTCTGTTTGTTGAAATGACAGACAGCCAGTGAAAAGCGAATTTGTTTAATCGAATTATGGAAATGCAAGCATCATTTTTAGTAAACAAACAGAACTTTGTTATTCCTGGCTGTTTTTTCCTGATTGAGGTGTCATATAAAAGGGCAGAAAATGAACTTTCTTGAAATGTGATTTTTCTCTTTGAAATTCAGATACCACCCACCAAATGACTTTTTGGTACCCTCTCTTCAAATTGTTTTTAATCACTCGTGTGTGAAATATGCATCATATGAGTTGCATCAAATAAAAGAGGAGGATCTAAGCTTTACAAATATGTGTCATTTATCAATTATAATTGTGATTAAGTTATGATAAAACATTGATAATTCACGGTTTCATTTTTTCTGAGACGCACTGTAGTGGGAGTCATACAGTACATGTATATATGTCAACTCTAGATGGCAGTACAACTAATAATAGAGATGATAGTTGCATTGTTCTAAAGGCTATGTTTGAATGATAAATGTTTCTTCTCTACTTTTCAATACTTCATGTTCCATCACTATATGTTTCAATAATACTTTTTCAAGTACATCTAATAGTCATTTACATGTTAATGTTATAGTTCCTAGTCATTTTGTTATTCACTTTATTTTACTGGCTAAATTCTCATTTCAGAACAACTTAATCAGAATCCATAATACATTGCCTCATTGTAATATACATACAGTCTTGGGGAAACTAATTGGACCAAGAAAGGTCACTGATAATGCTATTTTTAAATGAAATTACCATAATTTGCCAGGTTAAATTCATTTTGTAGTTGTTAGTAAGTTGTAGTTAGTTACATGCCCCTCATGAAACAAACTTCTTCTAATTAAAATTTTTCTTGGGCCATTTATAAAACGTTAAAATAACGGCATATAACCAGTATAATATCACGACTGAAGGAAATATAACTTTTTCAAAAGGCACTTTGTGTCTGTGGATCCATTTTTGCATGTGTTAATATTCGTCTTTATAATATTTGTTTTCTTCGCATGTCCATTTATTTTCCTCCAGCAAAAGGGCCTCATGCGTAGAATGAGTGAGAGGGCTGTCAGTAAAATACCTCGCACCCCTGTCAGTCAAGATCAGGTGATGTTCTATCTATTTCAAAAAAAGTATGGTCTTTTGAGAGCCAGAAGGGTGTTAAAGGTCGAGTGACATCCAAATATAAGTTGATTCCTGTTGATGTGCAGGGCTGCATATAACTCCTTTTTTTTTATTTATTCAAACATCTAAATATATTTCAAAGATTTTAAAATGTGTTTAAAAATAAAAGCAGAGAGTCTATTGAATTTATTTTGGCTAATATTTAGGGTCGTGCTTGTAGAAATATATAGTTTTAGTGCCTTTTTGTTTGTTTTAGTGATTTGAATTTTGTAAGGAAAGAGTTAAATAGTACCTTTTTATTATAGATGTAGATGATGAAAGTTGATATATGGTAAAGAGTCCTTTCTGTACTGAGGAAAACTGAGCCTATCTATATATCCTCTGGACTGGTGTGATTTTTATTTTAAAACTGCAATCTACTTATTATTCCACCGTAGAAGAGAAACACTATGCCTGCATATGACACTGTGAGTAAAAAAAATATATATATATATATATAAAGACATATAAAGATATATTTGACTATTCGTCTTGAAAAATTCAATTAGATATATAGCAAATTGGTTTCAATTACTGTAAAAGGGCTGTTTCTTTGCAACTGATTTTTCAATGTAGAAATATTTTCAAATTCCTTTGCTTTGCTTTTTCCTCAAATGCCTTAATTTCCTGTAACGGTTTCTTTGTTTCTTTTATGTCTTTTGTTGTTGTTATAAATTACATGTATATACTTCTATGTTACGCAGCTTTTATGCATTATTTATAGAAAGAGACTTAGCTGTCCTATTTTTATATGCTAGGAGTCAGAAGGCATTAATTTGTTTTATCTTTGGATGAAAGTAATGCTCTTCGGGTTCTAAGCAGGTTTAAAAGGATGAGGCTGTATGAATGCTTTAGATTACTTCAAACTTTAATCAAGCAATTTGGCACAAATATGTATAAATTTTGCTCACGTATAGAATACAGTTTTATTATAGATTACTTTATATATATATATATATATATATATATATATATATATATATATATATATGTTTTATCTTTTGATAAAATTAATGCTCTTCAGGTTTTAAGCCTTGGATTCACGATGCTGTATGATTTTTTTTAGGTTACCTTACATTTTATTCCAGCAATTTTGCACAAATTTTTATAAATTATGCTCCATAATCTTGCAAGAATGCATACAAAAGTTTTTTTTAAAATAGATTGATATATATATATATATATATATATATATATATGTTTTATCCTTGGATAAAATTAATGCTCTTCAGGGTTTAAGCCGGGGATGCACGATGCTGTATGAATTTTTTAGGCTACTTTGAATTATATTCCATCAATTTTGCACAAATGTTATAGATTATGCTCCATAATGTTAAACAGTTGCTTTTTTAGATTTAGATATATATTCATGTTGCCATGTATATCATCGTGCGTTATTTTTTTTCACCGAGTGTCTCACTATTTTTCTATGCGGTTGGCTTACATTACATTATATTCAATGTATGTGCTTGTAGATTCTTTCTTAAAGTATAGTGAAAAAAAAGAAAAGAAGCAGCTATGTGCACTTTCTCATTAAGAGCTGTCCCGTCAGCGTATCCATTTCATGTTTTAAAAAAGATTAGATCTTACTCATTTGTCTACGTTAACTTAAGAATTGAATAAATACATGTTGAAATTGAAAAATGAGGGAAATTTGATATCAGGAAAAAAGTAATTAAGACATGTACATGTAACTTTTAATAAATTGATGCAAAATTGCTAGGCCCCCTTCTAAAATAAAGAAGATATAGCAAACATTTCAGATATATATGAGTTCTATGGAGTCATTGGAGAAAAAGTGTGAACAATTTTTTTGAACACTCCACTCATCAGCTGAATCATAAATATCTCTTCTGCAGACATCTAATTAGTCTGGAAGCAATTAATTACCATGGCAGACACCCCTAAACTGTGTAAAACCCCATTTTCTATAATTTTAGTTAGATCAGCGGATGAGAGGAGATTTACAGAATGTAGAGAAATGCGCTGGTCTGAGCGGAAAATATAAATATCTTCTTATCTATTGGAAATGCATATGAAGAATGCCGTAGGGGTAGGGAATAGGCAATTATTAAGTTTCCAGATTTTGAGGAATGTGGGCAGAGACAGCTGATGGGAATAGGGAGAATTGCATCAAGCAATGCCTGGATTGAAGGGGGAAAAAAAATTGATTTGTGAATTTAGCTAGCTAGAAATGTCCAATAATACTAATTATGTAATGATAATTTTTATTTAAGCTCTAAATTTGGCTTATTTTAGTTCATGATATCGTCCCTATTTTCACGAAGTGACGGTAGTGAGGAAAATCGTAACGCAAAGTGAATGCATTTTTTTTTCATTACCGTCACTTCGTGAAAACAGCGACGATATGAAAAGGAAGCGTGTGCACAGTTTGCTATTCCCTTTTATGTTAAGAAATAATACACAAGTATTCTGGATAAAAAGCTTGCTCAATTATAATTGTATCTTCCTAGTGGCGAAAAGGATTTAATTTGTAACTATTATTTACCGTGATTTATAGTATTACTTTCATTTGCTGAATTATAATGGAGGTCTGGAGATATTTCATTGAAAGGAGAAAAAATTGATTCAGAGGTTCAGGTTATATTTTTTAAACCAATCATCATTGTTTTTGCAATATTCTTTTTCAATTAAAGAAATTTGCTGCCAATTTGAGGATTTTAAAGCTTTTTTAAGCAAAAGATATTGAGCCAAAGCACAAAATGTGGAAGGATTGTCGCAATAGGGTTATATTATCTGTAACAGGTGGAAGAGTAAGAAAATACAGCCATTGTGTTATGTGTATAAGGCATAAGGCAATACCCAATTGTGCAGTAGAGAATGAGTGAATAGCCCCATCGGGTGTCCGGGTATGAATAGCCTCAAGTGAATGTAAATTATTAAGAATTAGCTCAAGTTAGATGTGTTGTACTTACATGTATGTGCATACATTTATTTTCTCTTTGGAAATTCAATTTCCATACATTGAAATAAAGCTATTGAGAAATTAGTAGGGTCATCTACTGTGAACCACCATCAGGTTTCTGGGGAAAAGTGTAAAGCCTTGGTCAAAGCCTTTCTTACTTAGAAAAAAAGTTGTCTATTTTCCTTTCTTTTAAACGCAAAAAAGTCAAATCTGCAACATTTTTTTTTCTGTTCTGTGTGATCAAAGTTTAATGAGAAATAACATAACTTGGTGAGTTACAGCAAGCCTCTTCTTGTCTTGATCTTTTGACAATCAATGTCTTGATTTAGTTTTTAAAAGAGAACAAGAAAGAAGAAAAAAAAACATATCACTTAAAAACGACCACTGGGGGCCGTTGCATTACCATTGATGGTAACTTTGCCATCAATGGCAATTACCATGGTAACAGGGCTCAACAGCCAATCAAAATCAAGGTTTCCACTTTAGTTACCATTGATGGCAAACTTACCATCAATGTTTTATGCAATGGTGCCCAGGTGAGTCAATACAATCCGAAGTCTGTTAACAAAATAAATGGGACTTCAGAAGTGTCAAGACTCACAAGTTCAATCCTAGTGAAATTCTTATGTTTTATTGATCAACTTGCTGATGTAATCTCCAGAATGTACTCGTAACCAAAACCTGCATCTTACAAAAATGTGTTTTTTTACATTTTCAAGCTCCTGATCATCCAATTGAGGGGAAAAAAAATCATATTTATTTTTCGGGGGAAAAAGCTTGCCTGCATAAAAATAACACTCTAAAAAAAAAATTGCATTGGACTCTATGCAAATTTACGGGGGCTCTTTTCTAATTTTCGGGGGCTCTTTTGGGCATTTCGGGGTCAAATTAGCCCTGAGCCCGTGTATTTTTTGCACTGTGAGGGACCTTTTGTCAACAGGGGTTCCTCTTATGCCCCATCACCTTGCATCTTGCCTATAAAACTCTCTCCCATCTAATTGTGCAATTTTCCTTCCTTGCAGTACTAACCATTCTCTTGCCAAATTGCACCTGCATTGTATAATTCACACTTAAACACAATGTATGTTTTGGCTGAAATATTTTGCATCATGAACATTTTCTGACCTAAGTTCTGTTTTCCTTCCTTTAATCCTTCCTAAAAATGCATCTTGTTTTTGGCTACTTTTTCTTGCATATTATACAACTGAGAATTGTGATATTTTTCCATTCTTTTTATGATGGTATCATGTGCTTTATAGGATGTTTAGTGGATGCATTTATTAAAAAAAGAGATAAAACCCCTTATTTGTAATTATGTCATCATAAACTTTAAATGTTCTCTCATTTTCTCACTTTGCTCCTAACTCCGCAGGAACATGACAGTGACCTCTACTTGGCCCCTGCAGGTAGTTTCATTTCTTATTTGTTTAACTGCTGGAATTAACCATTTTTTGTCTCGCCTGCGTAGCAAAAAGCGAGACATAGGCTCCGCTTTTCCGATGACGGCAGCGTCAACATCAAAAACTAAACCTAAGGTTAATTTTTTTAACTTTGAATATAATTTTGAAAGTATAAGTTCTTATTTAATGAAACTTAAACTGAAGAGTTATCAATTATCCCCAATCAAATGAGTAGAATTTCAGGTCACTAAGTTAAGGTCAAAGGTTATTTCAGGTCAACAAATATATACTATGTTGTGGCATCAACATCAAACTTAACCAAAGGTTTAATTCAGCTAACGGGCCACCCTGCCTATAAATAATGTCCCAACCTCAATTATTCATCATATCGAATTGCGTAATGCAGGCGAGACCGCTGAGAGCGTTTCCTTTGTTTATACCCTTGCAGCGACAACAAGCATTTATCACAAACATATATGTGTGAGGCAAGCTAGCCTTGCAATCGTAGCGCTCTTTTGTACATCAGTCATTTTTTATAGAAACATTGTTTTATATCACCCAACTAAACAATTTATGTACTCTTTTAGAGTTTCAAGAACAACAACAAGTTATTTGTCTAAACATTATAAGATGCTGACATATTAATTATCTGAGGAACAGAAATAAATGAACACTGACATATAGGAAAGTGTGCTAAAGATGCACATACTTGTATGTACCTGTTCTGTGGCATTTTGTCTTTGATTTTTATCTCTGTATACTTCATGACAAATACCCCTGTAATAAAAAGTGGATGTTTTTATAGATCAGAATGGCATGACCATTCATCACTCCATAATAAGGCTTTCTGTGCTTTGGCTTCATGTAAACAACATTCTTGAGTAGATTTTGAATTTATTTTGCTTTTTTTTGTGCAGAAGAAGATGATACTTATGATGTCCCAGAGAACGATGCACATGATGATGGTGAGTTTGGATATATTTGGGGGATTGCATCTTCTTAAAGTGACTCGGTAACATCGTTGAAGGTTGATGAAAAAACTCTGTAATTTTTGTATGAAATGTTATTTATTACATTCCTTCTACTGTACTAACCCTCTAATATGCAAAAAATCTGTAGAAGGGGGCACTAGTCTGAATTGTTATTTTAGCTCCTTGTTTTACTCCCAAAAATTAGCACTCCCAAAAGTGCCTCTTGCTTTTGTTGTATGCAGTGAGTAGCTCTTGCCCCTCATGCGACACCCCCTACCCCACCTGACACACACCCTACCCCATCCGACATCTCCTTCCCCTCCCGATACTCCTGTCCCCACCCCTGATCTGCCAAGGTTAGGGTAAACCAGAGTGATGGATAGGTACAACCCGATAAAGGCCTGTCTTCATCAGTTCGAGTTTGCCAAATAGCCTGCTATTTTCAGACTGGGGATATTATCCCGAAGTTTGAAATTCACCAGACTTCACCAGACCGATGCGCTCATCACAAAGTAGCTCGGACGGGCGCAATTAGCCCACTAGTTTCCAAGTAGCGGGATATCTTGGGAACAAGACCAATATTTCTCAGGATATTTTCATGACCAAATATCCCACTAATTGCAACTGCGGGCTGACGAAGGAGCAAATTAACTGGCTAATCGGGATAGTTAAAATAGCCGGTTATTCGGCAAACTCAGGCCAATAGGCCCGTCTTCACTATCTCGAGATTGCCAAATATCCAGCTATTTGAACTATCCCGATCGCAAACTATCCAGCTATTTGCGTCTTCATTAGAACGAAGTAGCAAATTAGCTGGATAGTTGGTCGGGATAATATCCCAAGATATCTCGGTCTAGTTTGCAAAATATCCCACTATTTCCGAACTAGCGGGATAGTTTGCGACCGTCTTCATTAGACCGAAGTCCGGAGTCAAATATCCCGATCCCATCATGCACAACGATTTCCGGTTCGCACATGCGATCTATACCGCTCAGCGCGCTAGTACAACCACTGACCTCGAGTAAGCACGGAAAACCGCAAACTAGACTGAGATATCTTGGGATATTATCCCGACCAACTATCCAGCTAATTTGCTACTTCGTTCTAATGAAGACGCAAATTAGCTGGATAGTTTGCGATCGGGATAGTTCAAATAGCTGGATATTTGGCAATCTCGAGATAGTGCAGACACGCCTAATGAGGACAGGCCATAAAGGAAATGAGTGTTAATGATTGGTAGCAAGATTATGGTGTCATTAAACCTGATTGGGTCATCACTAAAAACAGGGTTAAAGGTAATCTCGGTACGAATCCAATTTCATTTACGGCTCAATATATCATCATAAATAGATTACTCGATGTCATGATGTAATTTCTGAATTAACAGACAATAAATACTAGTTGAGAAACCAAAGTATAAAAAATTTAAAAAACGGTGATACTGGGACCCATATGATCGATGATGGAATCATGTGACTAGCTACCATATATATGCAATGTTTCATTTTTGGGAAGTCCAACCTGATATTAAGTTGGTGTTGATTGAAGCAGGAAAGAAGGAGAGAAACATGTCAGTAAAAGTTTGAGCAAAAACTGATAAAAACTAAGAAAGTTAGGAACCTATGACGGTTGATCAATCAAACACAAATTGGCTTCTTTGTAACGTATCTTGCGAGCTCCTTTCCAATCGCCCTGTACTAAAAAAAAAAATCTAAAAAAAAAATTGTTTTTAATATTTTTTTAATACATTTTCCCTTTAAGAAAACATTCAATCATACATTCACCTTATTGCAAATATGTTTTTATACAATCCCTGTATGATACAAATCTATTATGCCATCAATAACTGAGAAAATGAGAGTTTATGACATTTTCTGTAAAGAGCAAATTGGAGAGGAGCTCGCAAGAAACATCACAGTCAATTTGTGTTTCACTGATGACAACTTCAAATATTCATAACTTTTCTATTTTTAATCAGATATTGCTCAAGCATTTTCTCGTTTGTTTATCTCATTTTTCTGCTTTTAATAAAACCAAAGTAATTTCAGGGTGGACTTCCTCTTTTAAAGCCTATCTGCACTAGTTTGGCAGGAGGGATTAGACCTCCCTGCATGGTCACTGACAGGTGGTTATCTCATCAAATCAGCTCTCATTTGACATAGGAAAAAAGGGGACCATGGGGGACCAATGGTCCCCGATTAGGCATTGTTTGCTATATAGAGGGTGCAACTAGCAAGTAGATCAGATGATCCATGCTTATACGCTGGGACCCCTATCAACTATAATTTGATTTGGTCAGAACAACGCATAATTAAATTGAAATTCAAATTACTGGGATTTCAAGTGTGTTTCAGGATCGATTCCAATCCCACAATGACTAATTTGCTGTCATATAATAAAAGTGAATGACAAGCTACATGTATGTATTATAGCAAATTCAGTAAGGTTTATTGGAAATAGGTTTTGTAGTTGACCCTGTAATACAACGGGATTAACTACTTCGTTGTGTGATTTAAAAACGAAAGAGAGATTAGACATATCTAGATCAAAACATGATTCCATTGTTCATTAATATAATTTTTAGTTTGTATTGCATTGTTTGACAATTATCCATTGTATGTAAATATGAACATTTAATAGATTAGATGAATTAAAATCTGAATTAAACCTCAAGTTTTCCCCAAAAATGTGTAAAAGTAAAAGGGAAAAAAAGGGACATGATTTGACTTTTGCTAGTACAGACATCTTAGGGATGAATTGCCTTGAGGAAAGTTTGTTGTAATTTAGATTGATTTGATAAAAGTCTTCTTTAAAAAAAATATAGTTCCCCACAAAAAAGTAGAAACTTACAAATAACTTACTCATCTTATAATTTGAAAATATAGTCTCTGAATGTTAAATTGAATTGAACCTTCCAATGATATTATAATAGAACATAGTAAAAAACAGTTTAGAAAGAAACAAACATTAGATATGACTTTGATTTTAATGACTAAAAGTTTGATAAAACCTGTATTAAGTAGATGATCCCTTTTCACATTTATACAAAAACACGTCTAATAGAATTCTGATTTTGAATAGTGCATGATGCATTTTGAATTGTATACCCTGTGTTATTAACACATGGTGCAACATTAAGCCTAAATGGGGGTAATAAATGTGGCACTCCTGGGGGGTGTTTCACAAAAACTAAGATCAACTTTAAGTTGGACTTATATATGACGGGCCATTCATGCCATCATTTACTCTCATTTACGGCGAAAACCATCCAGCGACAATGGAAAATGCCATTAATTTCAATAATAACAACAACAAATTCATTTCACCTTTCCCAAAGCTCAACTGTTACTCTTAAATTTATTTATACAAAATTTGCAGAACCTTGGAAGCATAGAGAGATTTATTGGAGATGAATGAATGATGCTATTACCACTTGATTCTAATTCCCAGCTGTGTGTTAAGTGTTAATGGCTTGTTATCACATATTGAGAGGTCAGTGTCACAAAGACATAACTCCATTTTGGCCATTTTGAGAAAAATTGGTTTATGTGTCACTGAGCACTTGGGCCTTAAGGAGTTAAGTCTATGTTTCACTAGCCAGTAACTTCAATGGGGGTGTTGGGTCTTTGTGTTTCCTGGAAAGCCCACATTTTCTGAACATTTTGATATCAAATATTCATTTTGGCAAATTTGGAGTTCCTTCTTTGTGTCACTGAACCCTCAATAGTGTTCATGTTTCTCACATTTAAAGGCCAAAAGGTCTAGCTGTCTTCTATTTGTCATGTCTATTAAAAGGTGTTTATAAGATGATGACGCGGATCCTAATCAAATGATTGGTTGAGAGCGTACACGTGACCAGGCATTTATTTTGCCTAACAAGTAATTTTTGGGGGGAGGCTTCACTCTTTTCCACAGAACATTTATACCTGTAAGCTTAAGTAAGTTTCCTGCATAGTTACATCATGAAACGGATATATTCCGCATTGCTGTTAAAAGCAACTTCCACAAAATAGATGCATGCACAGAATTTGATACATGTATGAATTGCTCGGTAATTGCTAAGTTGCCCCGGCCCGTTATTATTAATCTCTTTTGTTCTTGTACTGGATTTTCAATATATTATTGTTCTCTCTCTCTCTCTCTCTCCCTCCCTCTCTCTCTCTCTTCCTCTCTCTCTCCCTCTCTCTCTTTCTCTCTTCATCTCTCATTCAATAGAAATCTATGACATTCCTGATGATCCAAGTAACAATGTACCCGCACCTTCATCTAGGCAGCCACCAATCGTAAGTACACTACTCTTTAACAAAAGAAAAGGAACTGCTCTCTGTAGTTGTGGTATGTAAATTATGTTTTGATTTAAAGGCACACTGTCCTACTTGTAGCTACTTGCTCCCTCTATATAGAAAACTTCCCCAATCGGTGCCTGTTTGTCCCCCATGATCCTCTTTTTCTTATGTTAAATGAGAGCTGAGTTAATGATATAGCCACCTGTCAGTGACCTTGCTGTGTGGATCCCTTCTGGCCCAGTAGTAATGACGGTCTTTAAAATAAAAAAAAGAACTGCTTTCTGTAGTTAAGGCTTGTTAATTATGTTTTGATTTAATGTCTAGGTCAGAAGTCAGTTCATTTCACGATTTTTGAAATGCATGCGTTTCCCATGTGTTTCTACCCTTCAATGTATTCTTGGTTCGAAGTATCGTAAATCTCTGTGTATAAGGCGCACCCCTATTTTGGGGGCCAAAAGAAGGGGGGAAAAAAAAAAGTTGTTGTTGTTGTTGTTGTTTTGTTGCCGAAAACCCACGCGGGGAAGAACTTTCATTTAACATCGAGGTGCAGTTGAAGGTGCTGATTTGTGCTTGTGAACTTGTCACAAATTATAGTAACAATGTCGTTTTTAGAAGAATGTGTAAGATCATTAATGTAAATTAAAAACAATAGAGTACCTAAGATAGAACCTTGTGGTACACCATTTGTTATAGAAAACAAATTTGAGGAATTATTATTATAAACTACATATTGAGATCTATCAGAAAGATTAATTTCAAACCAAGATGACAGAAAAATTTTAGTGTTCTAGTTTTACGAATGGTGATTCAACACACCGATTACTGAGCTGGGAGACATTGCCAGGCATAGCGCCAGGTGGAGGGAAATAAATCAAAACACCATTTAAAATTTTTTTTTTTTGGTGTACTGTGTTTAAACCGCACCCTCGACTTTGAATTTGTTGGCGGTTTATACACCATTAATTACGGTAGGTCAGATGTCGGTTCGTTTAACGATTTTTGAAATGCATGCATTTCCCATGTGTTTCTATACCCTACAATGTATTCTTGGTTCGAAGTATGCGTTTTAATTTCAATTCCATCTTGATGCACGGTCGATGTCGAGAAAAGTAAGTGTAAGCGCGTGTCCAAACATGCCCAAATTTTTCTCAGGTCTTGCATCGTCGTCCCTTTTCCCTTAAAATACATGTGAAACACATTTTAGCTATATATCAATGTCACTTCCGATCCAGTTCGAATCATGCATGCCTAGATTGCTGTCTGCTCGTTTCTCTCTTTCCTATCTCTCTCTCTGTCATATTCTCTCCAAGTCCTACTTTTTCTACCCCACCATTGATCTGTCTCACAAGTATACATGTATTCCCTTTCCCTTTTAATAATTGCAAAAAGAATAACCCCAGCAACCATGCCATATACTCTCTGAAACACCATTTGTGCAACTTGAACGTACCCCATATCCACACCGTCTCCCCCTCCTGGCAACCCCCTACCCCATCAATAGGCCTGTTTTCATCAGCTAGACTTCGTCAAATATCCCGCTATTTGAACTATCCTGATCGCAAATTATCCAGATAATTTGCGTCTTCATCAGCCCGAAGTTGCAATTAGCAGGATATTTGGTCGAGATAATCATCTCAAGATATCTTGGGCTAGTTTGCAATATACCCCGCTATAAGTTTTCACCAGCCCGAAGATCTCGCACTATGCATGAACGCTGAGCGAAATCTCTCTAGCTAATTTCTTGAGCTCCAGTTTCAAGTATCGAGGTCAAGTCTCGAGCTGATGAGGACGCGATTTGTAACTCTGAGATTATTTCCCAAATCAGAAATAGCGGACTATTTGGCAATCTTGAGCTGATGAAGACAGGCCTGATTATTCCCTCCTTCTTTCACATGCCAGAGTCAAGCTTATGTTTGTGCAGGAAGACGGTAAAATACCAAAGATGCACGCAAGATCAGGGCCGGCCTATAAATACCTACCCCATCCTTCCTTTTGTCTGAGAGGAGCCATAACTTTCCTTTTCTCAGTCCTTTTGCTGTCAGGCAAATTCAATTAGTCCGCATGGAAGTCTCCACTCTTTCATTGCTCTGTAGGGCATTTCGAACATCCTGAAAACAGGTATAAACAGCATCTGCAAGTAAGCTGTAGCGAAGGAAAATTCAAACCAGAGTTAATATAAACCAGGTTATCAATTGAACCTGGCAAGGCTCTTGATGTAAGGGGATATACATGTGTATATATAGAGGGGTTTACATGAACTTTTTTGTAACGGGGTCATTTTGAGGATGTGATCAAGAACGGGGATTATTCTATTTCTCATAATGATGCGATTGCAAAAAATTGAGGGTCCTTTCAAATTTAGTAGGGCCACAAGCAATAAGACTCATGTAAGTGTTCGAGCATGGATATTGGACAATACAGAGAAATGTAGGAGAGGTGTGGTAGGATCTGCATAGGGGGGAAAAGATGGGGAGTTTTATTTCAGACATGGATGAGAGACAGGACACTTTGTGGTTTTATAAATTATATCAATATACAACAAACCGTTATATTTCAATAATTCGCATTAAAATAATTTAGACATGCTCAAGATAATGAGCCTTGGGCGAATGCTTTCAATGTCTTCTCTCAATAGGTCGTGTATTACATGTGAGCTTGTTTGGTTAATATTTAGTCTAGAATATTTATTCCCTGGCCTGGATCAAACTATTTCACTTGTTCAAACAGAATCACTGCGCGTAATTATGTTCTGCCAGCTAGTGCAGAGGTAATTTTAAGGGTCCTAAAATTACTCAACCATTGTTTTTCATGTCCTGACACATATTCTGTTCTATTGTTCAAAATTAGTAAATCTACTATTAATTAGGGCAGATCAAGTAAATTGAGTAAGTAGGTTTTGTCATGTTGAACATTTTCCAAGTTTATGTGATGCTGTACCCCATTAGTTTACAAATACAATTTGTCATTAAGTAACTTTCAAGTTTTAAATTTCAAGTGTTAGCTTTTTATTCTTTCACTCTTTTAAAAGTTTATACATGATAATTATTTGTAAACTGTTTGGCTTGGAGAGGACCAAAACCTATCTTCATCAAGCCAGAAAATACACATTTTAAGAAAATCGAGGCCCTGGGCTAGATTTTGACAATTCTAGTACCTCAAAATGTTTTTGTAAATACATGTAACTAATAAAAGATTGTTTTCAATGACATTTGTCATCCTTCGTACATCAACTATACGTAAAGCCAATATATTTAGAAACTTGTATTAAATTCAAGATATAGAAACTAAAAGAGTGATATTTGATATACATGTATGTTGATTTAAAAAAAAACACAAACGAGGGGGGGGGGGGAGCCATTCTAACCTTCCTGTAAGCTGCCACTTCTGAAGTGCTTGGCCACGGACAACCTGTTGGCTATTTTCCCATGCAGTCCTCTATCTTTACCTGAACAGCTAGCTGGATTCAAGGTTTGACGCTTGAATCAAGTCCAAGAAAGAAAAACAAAATTATTCTGAGCATAATTCTAGGTACTTCCCGTCCAAAGCCAGATAGACATCAACTGAACTATATTTAACGACTCGACCCGTAGTGGGGGGAGTCCGCGCAGCCTCTAATTTTGGAGTTCTTCTGAGATTTTGGAGTTATGAATGAAATGAATCAGATCACGTGGAATCTCTGCCAAGTATTCGGTCTGGTGATGAGCTGGCCACAGATATTGAGATCACATTCTGGAATTAAAAGACTTAATTGTCTTATGGATATGATATATACAGTTTCTGATTTTGAAGGCGATCAAGGGATTACATGTACATACATGTCAAAACCGAAAGGTGCCCTAGCTAGTGAAGTCATTATCTAAGTATATCTAAAACTAGTCCACGTATCCCTGCCCTATATAAGGCGATTGACTGTGGTCTGTCATGGAAGCTCATCTGCAACATAATGTAATTAATTGATGTTAACCCCTTTCCTGCTAGGCTTTATTGCATCAAGATTATAGAGATAGAGTTAGGGTTAGGGTTGTGATTTGAGTATTACATATAGGAGAGGGTCTAACTGAGGGTTGATCAGGGTTAGCTATAGTGTATGGGAGTCGGGCTAACTCGGACCCCGGGACAACTCAGCCCGCTGCAAAAACGGTCAGTTTTTGCAGGTTTAGGTTAGGTTGAGGGTTAGGTTTAGGGTTAAGGTTAGGTTTAGGCTTAGGACAAGGGGTAGGGTTAGAGTAAAAAGACAAAAATGACAGTTTTTACAGCGGGCCGAGTTTTCCCCGGGTCTGAGTTAGCCCGGATCCAGTGTATGGTCAGAGGTCCTTTAGTGTACTAGAGCATATCTTTTGAGCAAGTGGCTTATAAGCTATGCTGTAGAATATATTGAAAATAGAATCTGTGTAACTTGCATTCTACCAACTCCTATAACCCAATGCTGAGTCTTAATCATATTTAACAGAGGAAAATTTAGACCTCAACCTTAAACCCAACAGTGGGTTTAGAGGCCAAGCTTTGAGATGATATGCAGAATCTGTTAACCCATTCGTTTTACAGCCACAAGACTGATCTATAGTTAGGGTGTGAAATGTTTATTTTTAAAGAATCATCATGTACTTACATTCAGTGTTCTTGTAACAGTTTAATGAAAGTTATTTAAATAAAATAGAGTCTAAAGACATAACCTGATTCTGATCGAAAAAAATCCACAAAATGAATCAAATTGACACAGTATGTGAATTTTAATATGAAATAATAGGAGTTGGGAGTCGAGACCATAATACAAGATGTCTGGAGGGGGGGGGGGGGGGGATTTAAGCATGTTTTCCTAACTTAGTTTTCCTTTGATAGACCTAACAATCCCCCAAATATGAGAATTTATATTTCAATACTTGGCAATTCAGGATAACTCTGAATTAGATGGTTCCTTTCAATACTTTTCTCTAGATAGCATATAAAGTTGTTGCAACGTAATTGTTCAGCCCGGCTGTGTCTAACGGCCAGACTAG